TTCGGCGAGGGGGGTAATGGTATAGAGCTGATCGCTTTGCTTGGATCGTTTTTGAGAGAGGGGGTTGCGTGCTGTAAGCAACCCCCCTCCCCAAGCACCGAGACCAGTGGTTATGGTCCTCGAGATGTGAGCCCCGAGCCTACCCAAGTGCAATATTTTAAAGTCCTTGAATCCGCAGCCCCCATCCCTCAACTAATACCCTAAACCCAACACCCTAAACCCTATAAGCCCTAAACCCTAATGCCAAGGTTGCTATGATTGTTGGTAAGGGCCCGAAAGCCAAGCCGGAGACCTTCCCCGCCTTCCGCGGGAAGAGACGGCAACCTGTAACATAGGGGTGGGAAAAAGGGGGGGTTTAGGGTTTCGAGCTTAGGTTATAGTCCTCAACCATCTGAAGCATGTTTTCAGTCTTCCAGCCCCCATGCAGGCTGAATCTGTGGTCGAGATGTTGAAGAAGGCGCAGATGGGCTCCATGAACCCTTGGGCTCTATAGTTCCCTAATCTCTGACTAAACCTGCAATCCCGAAAATTCGAGTACCCTTAATGGAGGGTTCTATAACAGTACTACGATCTAGCCAGTATGTGGAGGAAACTGTGCTCTCCACCCAGAATCTCGAACATGCCTTACTGGGACCTAGCCTGCCGTACCTTTTCAACGAGTTCGGGGTTTGGCGCTCGATGATCCCGTAAAGCCCTAACCCATGAGTCCGACGCCCTTTTTGTTAAAGATCCCGACGATGAAGACGATCATGATGATGGCGATGGTGATGACGATGATGATGGGCAGGGGGTTTAGGGATGATGACGATGGTGATGGTGAAGACGACGGTTCTAATCATGGGTTTTAAGTTGCGGATTTGCAACAGCTCGGGCACCAGGTGCAACGCATGTCGACGCAGCTTTAAGCTCCTGCGAAAACCCTACACCCTAAACCCCTCAACCTCCGAACCCCTAGACCCTAAACGCAAAGCCCCTAAACCCAACGCCCCTAAACCCTAAAGCTTTTAAGCCCAGAACCCCAGAACCAACAAGGCCCTGTACCCGAAGCCAGAAGACCTGACGCCTCGGATTCGCTGAACCCTGTAGAAATGAGACGACTTTTTATACCATCCTCTGCATCTTAAAGTAGGGCTTAGGGTTTAGGGCTTTAGGGGTTGAGGGTTTAGGGTTTTGGGGTTTAGGGTTTAGGGGTTTAGGGTTTCGGGATGTAGGGTTTTACTTTTTTGGGGGTTTCGTTCCGGATGTTTTGGTTTCGGTTGTAGGTGGACCCCGGAAAGCAGCCTAGCCCCTGAACTCCAAACCCTAGGGCTTTAGGGGTCCGGGTGATCCTAAGACAGAGAGCCCAATACCCCTTTTTCAGGAATATACCTTAAACTCTAGGGGCCTTAATATCATGTTTTAAGGTTTATTCCTTAATTGAGGGGTAGGGCTCTCTGGGTCAGGCTCCTGCCGATGGCGCTTTTTACGTTGACCTCCTGCGCAACCGTATTAACCCGGGAGCCGGGACCCTGGCAGTCTAGGGCTTAGGGTTTAGGGTTTAGGGCCTAGGGTTCAGGGTTTAGGGCCTGGGGTTCAGGGTTTAGAGTTTAGGGCCTAGGGTTTAGGGTTCAGGGTTTAGGGTTCAGGGTTCAGGGTTAAGGGTTTAGGGTTTGGCAGGTAGGGCCTCAGAAGACCATGGAAGCAGAGGGTTCTGGAGCTTTTGCAGATGCCCTTCTCATGGAGGGTTTCAGAAACCCTGAAGCTGTGAGGTCCCTCGCGTTTCTGTGGTCTTCCGAGCACCAAGCCCACACTCCCAAACAGGTCAACTAACCCTAAACCCTAAACCCTAGGCCCTAAACCCTAAACCCTAAACCCTAAACCCTGAACCCTAAACCCTAAACCCTAAACCCTAAACCCTAAACCCAAATCTGAACTCCCGGAATCCCACGAAGCCCAAAATCCCACAATCAACCCCACGGGCCCTGAAAAGTTCAGGTCGACGACTCCAGCTATGTGAAGGCAAACTTCCTCCGCCTTGGACCGAGCAGGGCTTAGGGTTTTAGGGCTCTAGGGTTCTAGGGTTTAGGGTTCAGGGTCTTTAGGGTTTAGGGTTTAGGGGTTTAGGGTTTTAGAGTTTCAGGGTTTCAGGGTTTAGGATAAGAAATCCGCGTTTGAAACTCCCCTTTGAATGATGACGATGATCATAATGACATGGAGGGGCTTAACAATCTATTTTGGGGGCTCCTTATTATAGTTACAGTATAATTTACCCCAAAGCCTAATTATTACGGCCTCAATAACAAATTATGTTACGGCGGTCTTTATTTGCCACCACTTACCAGCCGTATTACAATTATTACAGCAATATTTGCCTTCGCCATTATCTCTATGGTTACATTGTCCATCACTGCTGTTGGTGCTGCTGTTCTTAAGTACGGCTCAATAATATTGATCACAAGCCCGCAACCTGAAAGACCCGACTATTTCAGGTTTACGATGCTGCATCTGAGCAGCTTTCGACTGAGCTAAGGGCATTGCAAGGGTGTTATAGGTCTGCACTCCGAAGGGGTGTTCGTAGGGCTCTATCTTTCAGACTTGATTAGAGTCTCATAAGGTGACATCATTCACGGCACCGTCTCGACGCCGTTGGTGTCGAAGGCGGATGCAGCCGGAGCCTCAGTTCTCCGGAGCTAAAGCCACAAATGACCCCTCAAATAATCTGAAGAGCATTGCCCGCGCCACTGCATCCTAGCATAATCGTGTATAAGCTAGTGTCTATGGTGTTTAGGGCTTCGGGATTCATTCTCAAAGGCTTTTAATTGTGTGATAGTTTGAATGGGTTGGACCAGCCTTCATCCTGAAGCCACAGCCTGAAAAGGTTCTCAAGACCGCATTGACCAACAAGTCTGATACTTCTCTCACCCAGCAAAGGTTGAATTATGCGTAACAAATATATATATATGAGTATATGTATACATATATATATACACATACATACATACATACATACATACATACATGCATAGATTATATAAAAGACCCTCAGTAGGAGCCCTCTCTATAGACTGTGCAGCTGTTAGTTGAGATCCAACCGTCATGGTTTATGGTTGGCAGATGCCCACACAGATCTGTCATCCGTGTACTGTTTATGTATAACTTTGAGTGGACTCATCACGATCATGTAACATAATTCTCAAAACGGATATGCATATGCAACACGCACACACATATACCTACATACCTATATATATATGTATATATTTATATTTATATTTGTATTTATACTTATATCTATATTTATCTATATTTGTATTCTTTTTGTATTTACATGTATATGTATATGTAAAGAAATACATGTATAGATATATACACACACGTGTATATATATATACACACACATGCATTTATATGTATACACGTCTATATATGCGTACACACACACACAGAGACAGACTTGCAGTTAGTACGTATGGTGTAGGCTTTTACTTCTAGGACCGAAGGTCCCAGGAACCGATAGCACCCGAATCCTAAATGCCCTACACAGATGATTCCCCAGATTCCCATCCAAAAAAGCACGAAGCACATGCAGTTTGGATGCCTTGAGGTAGAGATGCTCGGATGGATGCAGGGAGGGTACAACGTCGCCCCATTGGTCGAGGCGCTGGACCTCGACCAGGACAGGGACCAGCAGGATTTTCGGTTTGGACTTCACTACGAATTCGCACTACCGCCACCGCTACCGCGGCCAGATTACTACTTCTACCACCACCACCACCACCGCCCACGACCACCGCCCACGACCACGACCACAACCACGACCCGACCACGACAACCACTAACACCACAACTACACTGTCATTACACACTACGAAGACTACGACTACGACTACGACGACTACTACTAGTATTAGTATTTGTACTAGTACTGTAGTAGTACTATAGTACCAGTACCAGTACTAGCGGCGCGCGGTGCCTAGAGCTTCCGGCGGGTTTAGGGTTGAGGGTCCTGGGCTGAGCCGGTCTTGAGGAGAGTCCGGGCTTAAGGCTGTCATTTAGGGTTTAGGATTTAGGGTTTAGGGTTTAGGCTTGCTACTTTCGGGTCGGGTCCCTTTCCGGGGTCCTTATCACTGGAAGTTTCTATGTAAGTTCAATGGTAAACGGTACGTATGCCTGCAATGGAGAAGCTTAAACCCTAAACCTGAAGGCCAATTGCACTTAAAGGAAAACCCAAAGCCTACGTAAGCCCCGAGTCCTGTGCAAAAGCTTCGCTGCAGGAACTTGCGGCCGGGGCTGTCTCTGGCCTCAACCGCATGACCCTCGCCTCCGAATGTGAGGTCCTATACGGGAATGAACGATGCTAGTAAGCGCCCCTGTCTAGTCCTCTGACATTTAAGGTTTAGACACCTCAAAACCCAATTCTACATTAGTACGGTGGCTTGGGGAAAATGGCAACTTTGAGGGTTCAGATGCAGATCCCAAGGATCTTGATGTTCGACGCTTACCACGACGTGGAGGACAAGATGAAGAAGGGAAATCCTTTTGCCAAGCAGGCGAGACATATCTGCCTCTGGAGACCCTGCACCTGCTAAAGCCTGACACCCCAACCCCAAAGCCAGACTCCAGCCTGTTAACGTGACATACCCAACAACTCCACCCAAACCCCCCTAAACCCCCCTAAATCCCCGTACACCCTAAACCCTTAAAGCCCCAAAGCCTTCAACCCAAACCCCTTGTCCTCCTGCGCATGCCTGTCAAGTGGAAGTTAAGGCTTAAGCGCCCAGGGTGTGGCAGCCTCAGTTCTCTACTACACCTCAAAGCCGCAACCTCTACCCTACCCCCAACACCCTCTCCCCAAAGCTTGAGAAATCTGAGCCCAAAAATGACACAAGCGTTGCACACGAGCGGCTTTGAGGTGCTTGAAACCCCAGAATTACTAAAACCCGAAGCCCCAAACTCTCAAAACCCCCCTGAAACTGAAAAGCGCACTCTCGAAACTCCCCCAAAAACCCTTCAAAGCGCAGGTGATCGAATCCTGGGCAAACGCTGATTGGTTCACGAGTCGCCCCACCGTTCCTGAAAAGGCACCTTGTCACTCTTGCAGTTTTGGGGGTGGAAGGCGCCATCACGACTGAAGAATATGTCTACAGGGACAGTTCCCTACAGTAGGGTCCTCGTTAGGGTCCTTTTTATAAGAGTGCTGTGCTTTGTTTGGGAACTAAGAAGGGGGCCCTAATTTAGAGAACTACCCACAAGGTTCTATAAAGGGCTAGGCAAAGGAACTAATAGGGTTTAGAAGGTAGTTTTACATTTTTTTGTATGGCTTGGGGCTTGGGTTGTGGGGGCCCTAAACCCTGAACCCTAAACCCTAAACGGTTTTCAGGGTTTGTTTGGGGGTTTGGGCATCCCAGGTCTTGGGCTTTGGATTTGGGCTGTGAGCGCCAGGCTTCGGGGTTTCCAGGCTCTTCAAGCTGGACTCAGGCGGTTTAGGGTTCAGGGTCTAGGGCCCAGAGTAGGATGTCCTAACCCGTGGCTCTGCAAAAAGCAAAACAAGAATCCTTTCGTAACGCCCCTGGGTGGAGATCACGGGTCTGAATAATTGAAGCATTCTGCCCTCATAGCTCCGCCGAGCCCTCTTCAAACTTTTCAGGCACATCTACGAAGCACTATACCTACAGAAACATGAAGCACCACGAAGCCTTGTTGTAATTATTCAGGCCCCCATGGCACATCTTGATGGCCAGGTGACTCTGTGCGTGTTTAAAGTAACCGGCGAGACGAACACCGACGACCTTTCGCCGGCCCCCGATGCCTGGTCTCGCCCAGCCACTCGGTTGCAAGTGGTACAATGTTCTCCCTCTTCCGAATATTTTTGTTTGTATTTTTTTGTGTGTACTAATCTATTCGTTGCGGTTTGCTTGCGTTTATTTGTTGATCGTGTCTTGTTCCTCACCATTCCTGAAGACAAGTTACAGCATTGAAGCTGAACATAGCAACTGGGGAAGCTTAAGGACATCCCGCTGCACGCCCTGGCGATGCTGCTCCCCGGCCCTGAGAGTTGCAAGGGTAGAGGGGTTTGAAGATTTCGGGCGGCTGCTTGATGCTATAAGGCCTACAGTTTTAGGGATCACGGGTCTCTGCTTCGGTAGAACCTCGGTGCAGGAGCTACAGGTTTCGAGTGGTCATTTCGAGAGCATCAAGGGGGGTGGGGGGGTTCGTAGCAGCCTCTGTAATCCAGAGATAGATTTGAAGGACAGCCTCGAGCCAGAAATGCTCCTGGCCCTCCATACCAGGCTTACCGTTTGGCAGCATGCTAGTTGAACCATGCGCAAAGAGTCTGTGGGGAATCCGCGCCCAGTCTCCCGAAACCACTCGAGGCTTGTAGACCCCACGCCCGAACCCGTACCTTACGCTTCATTTCAACCCTGTGCGCTGGTCCGTTTTTCGGACGTGAGCAAGGACCTCGGAAAAGGAGGCATGTAAAGGCAACTCCTCCCTTGGTGACCTCCAGGTTAAGCTGAGCGCCGTGATTCTCTTATTCGTCACTGTAACGATTAAGGCTAAGGGTTTAGGGTTCCGTTCCGGCTTGTGCTTGTTGTAATTTCGCGTCAGTATAGGTTGTTGCTCATATTAGCTAACATGCATCTGTGCATGTATGCATGCATGTATACATGCATGCATGTATACATGCATGCATGTATATATGTATAATAATGGTAAACCCCAAACCCTAAACCTTAACCCCCTAAACCCTAAACCCTCTCAACTCTTTCAGCCCTAAAAACCCTAAACCCTATAAAACCCTAAAAGCCCTAAACCCTAAACCATCTGTAGAGATCTGCCGCTGCAGGAAGTTTCCTCGTGACGGCATCACCAATGCCGCGGAGCAGATCGCAGACCTGAAAACGAATCCTCGGCTAGGGTTTAGGGGTTTAGGGTTTTAGGGTTTTAGGGTTTAGGGTTTAGGGTAGGGTTTAGGGTTTTAGGGTTTAGGGTTGAGTAGCTCTGTGACGGGATTTAGGGTTCAGGGCTTTCGGGTTCAGGGGTTGGAAGTTTCACGTTTAGGGCCTCTAAACAGCTAATCCCAGAAACCCCTAAGCCCCGTCAGACTTTATGCGGTTTTACCGCAGTTATGCGACGCCGTCAATCAAAATAAAGTGGCCTTGTAACTAGAAAGCGGTTTTGGGCTCTTGTACAGGCTACGTATAATATGTAACCTTGAGGAATATAGGCAGGTCTTCACGAAGGCTTCTACATTAATTAAGCTCAGAACCATTCCAGGGGTTTGTGAAGTGCTATAGCGCTTTAACCCAAACGCTAACCTAAACCCCTTCGAGGCCTAAATCCCCTTTCGACCTGTGATCATAGAGTATATTATACTATACTAGAACATAATAGTTTAATAGCGGATTGTTATGACATAGTAGAAAGTTCTATGTCTTTAGTATTATATCCTAGGTTAATTTTGGAAAGTGATGACATAATGCTAAAGATATATATATATAATATATATAATATAAGTAAATATATATAGCTATAAATAAATAAATATAAATATATATATACACATATATATATATATGTTTATACACGGACACGCATGCATGCATACTTACATACATAACATAACATAACATAACATAACATAACATAACAGAACATAACAGAACATAACATAACATAACATAGCATAATTCCTTGACCGGTTGCGGCGGTCTAGATTGAGGGGGTTTAGATTATGGAGAGTTTAACAGTAAAGGCCCAAAACCTTATTTTTGTATGTCGTTGGCAAAATTTGTCTTTATTTGTCTAAATTTGTCTATAAATGTTTTTATTTGTCCGGATTTGTTTTTTCTGTCTTGATTTGTTTTTTGGGAACTGTTTTTTTAATTTTTGATCAAGTACATGTTTTGTTGATGGCTGTGTATGTTGCC